GGGATACTAAATGCTTCTTACAGAATTATTTAATGTTGTCAGATTAGTCAGATTTCTATGAGATCAGTCTATTTATGCATATTTGAGGTATGAAGTCATAACATGTATACAAAATATCTCCAAATTAAAAATCATAAATTTCTGTTACATTTTATTTCTCTCTCTTTAAGAACAGTACAGCTTAGCTAATCAGAAGTCACTAGATTGTGGTTTATTGTGATTAATTTGAGATATTTTTTGCCTTACAATGAAATGCTAAAATAAGTTAAAAGCATATTTGGGAATTTTTTTGTTTCATTGACTTCTTTGTTATTTTGTGAATGCTGTCCCCTAACTATTTTCTGTTTCAAATCACAGCTACGGACAGGTAAACTACCTTGAAACTTTACTTATCTTTTACCTTTACACATGACTAGGGTGCCTCTGCTCTTACTCACCACTTCTTGTGTCTGGTTAACAAGATACTGGGGGTAGAAAAGAAGGAAGATTTGAATAAATTAGTCCGGTGGGAGGGTATGAAGAAACATGACTACAGAAATGCATTGCTTTGATAGAGGGTTGTAGAGCAGTACCAGAAGCAGGTCCTATGTTGACGCACTAGCCACAAGAATATTTAAGACAGTATTAGCAATTTCATATCTGGTACCCAGAAGTGACTTCCCAAAACTTTTTCAAAATGTGAGCCTTTTGTCACCTGACTCAGAGAACAAATCTTGGGAACATCCATTTAGAGGATCCTGTTAATGCACTAAATTAGCAGGAACTTCTCTTACTGTGGTGCCACAATGAGCAGCTGTAAGATCGAAGTCCAAGCAAAAACCTATCAGAAGGTGCTGTGGCCTAAAAAAAGGTGCTGCTGAGGTCTCTGAGATTCTCTCCCAGGGGAAATAAGCTTGTTTGCCTGGTGAAGTTAAAGGACTGATGGCAAGCAGAGGAGTATTTATTACTGCAATGTGTAAACATGTATGCATATACATATATAGGTATGCAAGATAGGTAGTATTTACTTCTGAGTCTAAATTGACCAAACATGAAGGAAGCCAACTATGCTGGCAATGCCAAAGGAAAGTTTAAAGATATGGATTAAAAAAAAAACAGAAAATGAAAAGTAAACTCGAAAGCTCTTTTGCAAGTAAGATGCCATCTAGCTCATGCAAAAGGCATGCAAGGTTATTTCCAAGTTTAAAAAAAATTCCTTCCTTAAAATACTAGTCTCTAAATTACTTCTGCAGTACATTGTGGCACCTCCTCAATTTCAAAAAGCAAAATAATGTCCTCTGGGATGGGGGGAGAAAATTTAGTTGATGTAGTTTTCTAAACTGTATCCAAAAATTCATTCCAAACATGACAAGCAAAAGTTGCCCATGCAGTCCAAGTATGAAAAGTGTTTTACTTCAATATTTAATCTTGTAATTGTCTCTGTACATACATATCTCACTACGTCCTTGCCTGGTTAACAGGTCTTCCTTAGTCTCAGAAACATATAGATGGCTCCCAGTGGATTGTCTGGAGATGTTATTTTTTTATATATGATTGAAGACTTTTATCAACTATCATATCCACAATGATTTACTGAAATCTGTGGGAATTCATGTAATCATTTAAGTCTTCTTGTACAGATACCAATTCTGAGCCTACTTTTATAACATGAGCATGAGAGAATGGCATTTTTTCTACTATAATCCCCTACACTGAGGTACCAATCTTTCTACTGCTTCTTTTTGTAATTTATTTTTGGCTCCCAAGTCAAATCTCATTGATGCAGAGTTTCTAAAACTTGAGTGTGGGGGGAGACCTCTATATTACTAATTAATGACTAGAATCACCTATTCATTTCTAGTCTTTGGCCTAGTGATCTAAGTCCAGGCAGAATTTATTCAGCAAAATCTCTCTGTAGGCCCAGGATATGTGTATTCAACACAACAGAAAAGTGACTATGATGATCATCAAGTCCTTTACAACTGATAGCTTTTCTTTTGCTCATTCGCACATTATAGCTGCTCTTATTCTCCTTTTGAGAAGTCATTTGTCCTGAACAACAATCCTTAGATACACACAAATACGAAACACGCTGTCATCAAGCAAACTACATGAGTGAAATCTCCTTGGGATAGAGGCTGGTGGCAGGGTTTCCAATATGGTGAGGGCTGGCAAATTGACTATGTTGGACCACTGCCACAAACACACCAAAGCAAGACCTACATACTCACCATGGTAGAGGCAACAGCTGTCTGGCTGGAAGCATGCTCTGTAAACCACTGCCACTCCTTGGAACACCATCTCAGGCCTTGAGAGACACATTTTGTAGTGACATGGTACACCAGAGGGAATTGAATCAGACAATGGAATTCATTTTCAAAATAACCTCAGGAAGTCTTGGGCAAAGAAATATAGCATTGCACGGATACATCACGTCCCTTATCACTCATGAGGCTCTGGGAAGATTCAGAGGTATAATAGACTGCTGAAGACCATGTTAAGAACATTAGGTAATGGGGTATGGAATCACTGGGATGCAAATTTAACAGAAGCCATTTGGCTGGTAAACACTAGGGGATCTGCTGACTGCCCTTGTCCTACTCAAATAAAATCCCTTCACACTGTGGAAGGAGATATGTTCCCTGCAATACCTAAGGGAGGTGGCTGGGGAAGTCAGTATGGGTTTCTCCTCCACTAAGACAAATCCATTGTTCAGATTGTCTTTGCCCAAGGACCTAGGTGTACTTGGTGGGTAATGACTTGGTGGATAATGTGGAAGGATGGGAAGACATGGTATGTGCCTCAAGGAGATTTAATCCTGTGGGAAGAATATTCTGTTGTGTAAACTGTATGTTGCAGGAAGTAAAGTAGCAGGAGTGACATGAACTGATGAAGAATTAATTTTGTGAGGAGCAAGGAGAATGCGATGACAACCCAGGCCAGGCTGGTGTTGGTGCCCAATGATCAAGTATATCACTTCCCCTGACCACTCATCCTGATGGACTGGAGATCTGGAGGGATGAAGGAAGCCCATGAAACAGAATAATAATAATATCTTTCTGTGAAACAGTAGGGGACAGTAGTTAATGAAAATGTACGTTTGGTAGAAAGATGGTTTACGGATGTAGTTTAAGTTGTATGTGTGGGTAAGAAGGGGTTCCAGTCATGCAAAATAAATAAAAAGGAATAGTTAGAAGATACGTTAATTATGTGGGATCTGAGTGTGACATATATGGTATGGAATAAGGGGTGGAGATAATATTGAGTCTGGCCGAGCAGGAGCACATTTCCCCTTAACAGCCCCCACAGTGCTGCTGCATCTTTGCATCAATAGTTGGAAAGGTGCTGATAATCCCCAGTGCTTTGGCTACTCCTGAGCAGCACTGGCACAGCATCAGCACTGTGTCTCCAACAGTTGTTCCTCCATCAAGGGGGCTGGGGGTGGGCAAGATCCTGGGAGGGGACACAACCAGGCCAGCTGACCCAAACTGACCAAACTGGCCTTATCCCATGGTATACGATGTCAGCTCAGACACAAAAGGTGAGGGAGGAAGGAGGAGGAATGGGAGGCATTAGTTATTTTACAGTATTTGTTTTCCAGAGCAGCCACTCCACGTGCTGAAGCCCTGCTTCCCAGGAAGTGGCTGAGCATCACTCACCAATGGGAAGTAAAGATTAATTTATTTTTCCCTTCACTTATACACGCAGACACAAACTTTCACTTTTTTTTTGCTTTAGTAAACTGCCTTACCTCAAACTTCAACTTGTTTTCCATATTATTCTCTTCCCTGTTCCACTGGGAAGGGGACTGATAGAACAGCTTGATGGGCAGCTGGTGCTCAGCCAAGGTCAACCCACTATACATACATAAAGAAGGCTGTGAAGACGTAACCCACAAAGACAGGAGTGCAAATGTGTGGTGATGGCCTGCAGGAACCTTTCCCCAGCAAGGGAGAGGAGTCTGGCAGTAGCTATGCAGCCTGGGACACAGGTATGCAGCATTTACCTCCTATGACGTATTCTACTGTGCCATAAAGAGACAAAATCCTCTGGAACCTTAACAGAGACTCAAAAAGCAACAAAAATACACATGAAGAAGAGTAGCACTAGGAAGTTTCTCAGAAGCAGATTTTGGATTTAGGTCATAATCACATCACCCAGTAGTGGACATGTTTTTTCCTAAATTCACAGAGTCTAGGGATCTTTGAAATATGGTGCTTCCCAGTGCATACTGCTGAGAGCTATAGTCTCCTGAGCCAAAGAATCTACAGCAAACAAGAATAATAAAAAATAATCAAAATAAATGTTCAATGTAAAATTTTCTAATATATACCTTACTTATTGTGGTGTCTTTTTCAGTAAAAGACACATCCTTAAATGTTTTAAGTTGTAACAGGCACTTGGGTCTCTGTGAAGTCAAAAGGACTTTGAAAATGCTTTTATGAAATGAAATCTTGACTGTTATGAGCATCTTCTTTTCTGTTTGTAGTTTTTACTTTGTCAGAATATTAGAGTACTTGGTGTTCAGCACATGAAGCTAAGAAATCACTTTTATACATGAGTCTGAAATACACTGTGGTTTCATGAAAGCAAGATTAGTGTGTCAGTAATGCTAAATGTGTTATTAATTTTATTATTGCTTTTCATGTAAAACTTTTCTGTTAAGAACATAAACCTGAAATTTCATTTGGTATTTTTCCAACTTATCCACATTACAGCCTCTATTTTGTCTTTATTAAACACAGTAAAAATCAAACTGTTGTACAGTGATCACCTACATGGAGTCAATAAAGATCACATTTTGCCATACATTTTATTCTACAAACAGTACTATTACAGAGCAATGTCATGTGTCAAAGTATAACAATACTCTTGATAAGTGATGACTGTCCTTAATATAGTATTTCCAGAAAATTCCCCTGATGACTCAAAATGAGAGAGGAGAAAAAGCTAGGATTCAATGAGGAAATAAAAAAGGTTTAATCAGTTCACCTGCTACAGTTTCATTGTGGTGTACTCACCTCAATCACCTCAGGATGGGACATCATGGACGATGGCAGCAAATCAGTGGGGATATCCATGGTAGCTCAAAATGCCCCAGCTGCTCTCCTTGCACTGTTCCTCTGCACCAGCAAGCTCTTGGTAGGATCACAGGAGCCCTTCCTCAGACTCTAGTCATACTTATATTTACTCCTAACAGGAAAGAAAAAAAAAAAAACTGTTGAGAATAACAAGAGAACTGGGTAGGCAGTCAACACTCAAGATCCTGGGCTGCTGCAAAACCAGACGGACTTTGTAAAGCCCCACTCGCTGACATGACCACTTACAATAGATTTGCAGGAGAAGTCTCAAAAGGTATACTGGAATTTGATCCAGAACAGGAAAAAAATTCACTTGACAGCACAAACTAGACTCACACAAACTGAAATCAGCAAGAAAGCTAACACACAGACTGCTTTTCTTGTGCAAGGAAATATGGTTACCTACAGAATATTAGAACTGTGTTGACTTTTTTCCACTGCAACAAAAGGAAAAATAAAATCCCCACAAAAGAATGCTAACAGAATTACTTGCTGGAATTCAGGATACATTTATTTCCTCAGTTCAGTGATCACATGAACTTTTCTTCTTTGTTAAGAAAAAACAGCTTACATACTATGACTTAAAAATATGACAGCCTTTTTTCCCAGTTAGTCACAGATTTGCAGTACATGAATATACCAAACTGTAAAATTTGCTCAGCTGATTCAACAAAATGAAGTTATCTCCATAGTTATCATGTTTATCAAGGTCAGTCGAGCTTCCATATATATGTTATTTTCTTTTTCTACTCTTGCGTGCAAAGAAAACAAACTAACAAGAGGTGGAGGGGGAAACCCCTGTAAATGTCCAAGACAAAATTCTAGACTAAGACAACTACTGACTTTTTCCCTTAGTGAGATCAGACATATACAACACAACCCACAAATCAGTCACCACAGAAAAGATTTTGGAGAGACACAGATTGCTGTCTTCATCTTCACTTCCTATTCTGCAACTCATGGCAGAAATCTACTCATGCAAAGTGTAATCAGCATCCAATAAATGTACCAAAAATTACACCAAACTTCTGTGGTATTTTTCAAATTGAGGACATGCTATAGTTACACAGACAATGCCAGTAACTTTCCTGGCCATAAGTTCATTTTTTCAACGGCAACACTTACCAAGCCAAGAAAGAACAGGTAAGTGCTGTAGGGAAGTTATGCTCCACATGCTTTTCTGATTCAGTTATATCTTTGTTTTTGGTCTTGTTAATTTAAACTCAGCCTTTGCATGCCACTGTGGAAATTATTCCTCCTTCTTAAAAAACATCATCTTGAAATGCCTGCTTCACATTTCAGCACATCCCCACATGCCTTGCGTCACATGTAGCTGTCTCATCTTCCAAGCTTTAGGATCACTTTTTCCATCTTTATATAGCTTTCCAGTGACCCCTATTCTTTCCTACTCAGTTTTTGCTAGTAACCCTTCATTCTTTCCACTCCCTGCTCCAAATTTCTTCTCCTATACTCGTGGGGAGGGCAGAAAATGAAGCTGCAGCATATCTCCAAGATTGTCTTCACAAAGTAAAAGAACAAACACAATTTCAGGTTTCCTTTTTTCTTTAAAAAATGAGAGATGAACTAATTTTCTGAAATTCACTAATTTATCTCTGGACAGATGAGGGAAACAGATAGCATCAGCTTGGAATTCTGACTTAGGGAAGCTTCTGCAACTTGACAGTGATTTTCAGTAAAGCTCTACCAACAGCCTGAAATCCTCAACAAACATATCTCATCAGTGTCTTGTGAGCTGTTGCAACTGTAACTTAAATATGATCTCAGAAGACTTTTTTTCTGTTCTTCTCATGACATGCTTAAAAGCAGCAGTTTCACTGCATCTACTTTACAACAGTCATTGTTAGTTTCTTTTAAAATCTTTTCTCTTAATCCTGAAATGCTGTCACTTTTGGATAATGAAGGTGGGGAAAAAATTGCAATTCAAGCTGACTTTAGACAATACTGTCTGAACCAAGACCAAAGGTATGCTTATAATCCTATCTGTCAAACAAAAATGAGAGAAAACAAACATTTTTACTACAGAGCATCATAGAGAAAAAAAAAGAAAAAAAAGACTAAGAAAAAAAAGTCTGAAGTCTGTTCAGCATATAGTGTAAAGTACTAATTAATCCCAGACAGATAGGTCCTGTAAACTCATCAGAGAAAATAAAACATTTGAACACCATGTAAAAAAGGTGAGAAAGTAAGAAAAAGATCTCACACAAACATTACACTTCCAGATGTCACATCTGAATTTTTGCCATCTGAAAGTATTAATTTCCATCACTCGCCTCTGGCAGCCTTCGCTAAAAAATCCTGCTTGGCATTCATTCATTCAGCTCACAAATAAATGCATCACTCTACCAGGGCAGCCTTATCAATCACAAAGAAAGATGAATACCACCCAGGTAAGAACACCAGCAATGACTTGTCCTACCTAGCATTTCATTTTACTACTTGTTGAAGTGATAGGTAGCACAACAGGTGTTTTTCTGCTGTCTCAAGTTGAGATAAGACAAATTTACTGGAAACAAAAAAGCAATGAGATAAGAATACAAAGAATAACAGCAGCAATAAGTTGCTGTAATGTAAGTATACATAAAGAATGTGATTTATATGCAAAAGTGCTCAAAGACCAACCCGGTGCCATTCTGCCCCTGAGAAAACGAACCACACATAGACCCTCTGTGCCCATATTTTTCCTCCTGACTTCAAGCCCTGCCTCTTTCTTGGAAGCAAGATTCCCTTACTTCCAGCCCCCTATGATGATGTGCCTGGTATATAGCAGCCACCTAGACAGGGCTCCAGGCTCTGACCACTCCCTGCTACTGTGTGAAAATTAACTCCGTCCTGGCCAACAAACAAGCACCATGCACCCCAATTCTATGCCATCTGCATCATGCCCCAATCCTACACCTCACCTTCCAACTTTACACACGTACATATACGGGTACACACAAACACAGGTATCATTTCCATAGTCAGTAGCCATCCCTCCAAGATGTTCTCCTGCGTTCATTTAGTCTATGACTGTGGGTTCTATGGGGAGCTCACAACTGGTGTTTCTGGAGCATCCAAACTCATTGTCCTTGGTAGTTAAGTTATGGCATATAGTGGCAGCGTCATTCAGCAACAAATAAATCAGACTCTTCTTATCCAAAAAGCAAATCCTTTTAAGGTTTCCCCTTCGCCATGTTTTTCCTTCACCATGTTTCCCCATCCCTCTGCATTATCCATCAAGTGCACTCAGGGCCCTGAACAAAAACAATCCCATTGTCTTAGGGTGACTGTTATGGTGTTTGTATCTCCAATCGTGTGTTCTGTTTACGTTTGATATTATGTTCTGTGCTTTCAGAACTGACTCTGAAAGTGAAGGTTTGTTTTGCCGTGTTATCATCTGGTTCACCTCCCCCCATGGTCTGCTGTCTAGAAAAGGCTAGGGCTGGCTGGCTGGCTTTTGGCTTTGCTTGCTTGCTTGGCTTGCTTGCTTTGCCTGCTTTCTTGCTTTGCTTCCTAGTTAGGTTAAGCAGTCCAATTCTTTCCCTGGACTGTTGTTTTTTCCTTTCCTCTTTCTGAATGTCATCCAACCTGCTCTGGACTGGGATCTGGGAAACACCAAGGAACACCAGGAGCCTGCATTTGGTGATCTGCAGCAGCCATCCCCAGTGCTGGAGTGCAATCCCCAGCGTCCAGACCCGGGCGACCACTCCCAGGAAAGACCTTCTGGATTTGTTCATCTCTTCAGAGGGGTGAAAGAGTTTTGTTGTCATCTAGTGTTGTTAATTGTTTTGGTGCTGGGGAGTGCTTTGTTTGTTGAATAAACAGGTTCTTTTCCACTTCTCTCTCAGAGGAAATTTTTCCCTGAACCAGGTGGGTGGAGAGGGGCCGTGGGGGTTTATTTCCTGGGTTTTCCCCAAATTTGCCCTAAACTAGGACACCCATGGATGGGTTTGCCTTTTCTTGAGACAGCACTAATTCAAATTGTCTTCCCTTACACATTTCTCATATTCACTACAGTCACTTTATCCCCTTCCACAGTACATGGAGGTTTGAACTGGGCAGGGCCAGCTCAAAGAGTAGAGCCACCAATAGAAGAGCCTCTAGTGTTAATTAACCAGGAGGCCTACACTAAATGTAGATCCCAATGTCTGAAGGTCCCACTATCCATTGCTTTCAATGTGGCTTTTAGCAGTCCATTGCACTGCTCAATTTTCACAGAGACTGGTGCATGGCAGGGACTATGACAAACCCACTCAATTGCATGCTCTCTGAGCCAGGTGTCTATTTTTGAAATGAGTCCCGTTGTCAGACTCAGTTCTCTGGGGGCTACCATGTCTCTATAGGATCTGCTTTTCAAGGCCCAGGATGATGTTACAGGCCATAGCGTGAGGCACAGAGTAGGCCTCCAGTCATCCCGTGGTGTCTTCCACCATTGTGAGCACATAGCGCTTGCCTTGGTGTGTCTGGGGCAGTGTGATGTAGTCAATCTGCCATGCTTCCCCATAGCTGTACTTGGACCACTGCCCACCGTACCAGAGGGGCTTCACCCGCTTGGCCTGTTTGATGGCAGCACACGTCTCACAGTCATGGATAACTTGGGAGGTACTGCCATGGTTAGAGCCACTTGTCTGCTGTTGCAATGTTCTTCACAAGCCTGACTCTTGGGTGCATGTGCATCTACAGCATACACTTTTATAGCAACTCCTCCATCCAGCCAGAGATGTCTTGACACAATTCAGAAGCCCAGATGTGTTTCCCTCTGTGCTGCCAACTGTCTTTTTTCCGTTGTTCCAGCCATCCCCACAGAGCATTTGCCACCATCCATGAGTCAGTGCAGAGACAGAGCCTCGGCCACTTCTCTCATTCAGTGATATCCAAAGCAAGCTGGATGGCTTTAAGTTCCGCAACCTGACATGATCCAACTTTTCCATCAACAGGTTCGCAACTTGCCACACACGACTCCATCGAGCAGCTTTTAATTTTTGACATATCCTTAAGATATGGCACAAACTGTCAGTAAAGAGAGAACATAGCTTCCCATTTTCAGGTAGCTGATAATATGGTAAGGTCTCTCCTCAGCACATCACCACTACCACCTCCTCCTCCACTTTT